TCCTGATTAGAAATCGAACACATCCTGTTGGCAGCGTGTCCGGGAGCTCACATTGGCCCTCATAGGTTATGAGCTGATAAGAAAGTTGACAAATGTGGCAAACTTCCAAAAACCATAATGTAGCAATGACTGTGGTCCACAGCTCGTCTGGCTTCGGTCACGCCACATTTAAATATCTGCACAGTGCCGATGATACCAGCAACAAAATAAGGTAAGCTTGCTTCTTTTCTAGCTTAGCAGGTCTGGTAGGTCTCAGGAGTGAAATCATGTGGTGTACATAAGTCATTCTTCTGCCTGTCTTGTCCAACTACATTCTAAACATGCAGGAAAAATTTGTGCAAAACAAAATGTGGACAAAATTAAATTTAAAATGATGCACATTCTAGTATTGCAGTCTATAGATTTCATGCTGAAAAAAATAACAAAACAAAGCAATGAATACAGATATATATAATTATTATATATAATTATTATCTTGTTTACTGAAATCCTAAACTATATGTATATATATATATATACCATATACACACCACCCACTTCCTTGTTTCTTCACTTATTGTCTATTTTATCAGCTCCACTTACCTTATAGGTTCACTTTGTAGTTCTACAATTAGTCCATCTGTTTCTCTGCATACTCTGTTACCCTGTTCTTCAGTGGTCAGAACCCACTCAGGACCCCCACAGAGCAGGTATTATTTGGGTGGTGGATCATTCTCAGCAGTGCTGCTGGATTCTTAATCACCTCAGTGTCACTGCTGGACTGAGAATAGTCCACCAACCAAAAACATCCAGCAAACGACGTCCTGTGGGCAGCATCCTGTGACCACTGATGAAGGACTAGAGGATGACCAACACAAACTGCAGCAGCAGATGAGCTATCGTCTCTGACTTTACGTCTACAAGGTGGACCAAAAAGGATGATGTGTCTAATAGAGTGGACAGTGAGTGGACACAGTGTTTAAAAACTCCAGCAGCACTGCTGCATCTGATCCACTTTTTTTAGAAACCAGACCTTTTGTTTGCATATTTGGACTCGCTATCATGTTTAAACAACTATCTTCTCCCCAGATTCATGGGACTGATAAGATACATACAGCTTATTATTGAGTAACTACAGGGACTTCAATGCAAACTGGTTGATCTATTCTGAGGCTATAGAAGTGTATAATAAAACCTCGGGCTTGCCAGTGGACCTATGGCTATGTAAGGGGTTAAAATCTCCCAGTACACCACACCACTCATGTTACCTTCAGTGACATGTAGTTCTCTAGTACCACATACTTATTGTCACTTCAACCGCATTTAATATGTCTTGTTTTTTAAGCCTTCTGTCTTTTGCTATATTTGGTCTGAAACTTTGTATGTATTCATAAGAACTGTCTATGTGCTGTAGTACACCGTTCACAGCAGTATCATGTGTTTGCGTTTAGTTAAACAGTGGAACTGGCTTCTGCAACAAACACTTCCCAGGAAAGACGTGAACCTGCCTGTACAAACTCGTACGCAGCTCCAGGAAAGGTTCGTCATCAGCCTCATCAGCTTCTCCAGAATAAAGCAAGGGACAAAGTTTTCCGCACTCAGTTTTCACTTTGACTACACTGCACTCAGAATCAGTGCAGAGGCTACCAACGAGACCCAGGTAAGACTTTATTGTTTTATTATTTTATTGTATTGTTTTCTACTTTGTTCGAACGTAAAGCTCCTTAGTTTCTCACTGTGACTACAAGATCAGGACTATTTCAGGACTATTTAAAATAAATGTGACACAATCTTGTCCAGTGAATTGTGTTTAGCAGCCCGATCTGACATTGTACATTTGGATGGAAGCGTTAAAAAGTTATTCATCATAAACATGTTCTTATGTGCTTGAGTTCTGTAATTAAACATAGAAGAAAAGCACTATATTTTGGTTTATTTTTTGGTTTTTGTGTTCTACTTGAAGAAATGCAAGATTTAAGGCAATGTTTCTGTAGCTTAAAAAAAAAAAACATTAAGTCCAGTTTACTAGTTCGCTCTTGGATAACTGAGCGTGCCTTGACAGGCCGTCAGCAGAGTAACACAGGCAAAAGAGTTCTTTTTTCTCCTGATGATGCAACCTCAAGAAGTACACTCCATACTGAGGAATGCACTTTCACAACCACCTGCATGAAAGATATTTTGAAGCATGTTCTGATAAGCCGTTAAGATAAGGTGTGTCGCACTGACTTGGTTCACCATTTCCAACTTGAAACATATTATGTTTATTTACAACACACAAATGTAGCCCAAGTCAAAATATAAGACAAAAACATTGTTGATGTAATATATTTCTTTCATGATGGAAGTGATGGAAACATTTGAATCAAATCAGTTCGATACATCACTCACGTGTAGTTTGGTAAAATGTACGAAGTGATGGTGCACATTCAGTTTTGCGCTTACCCTCGATGTGCTTGATCAGCTGAGACTTGTTTGGTGTCCAAATGTTCCTTTTTTTAGTTTAGAACTGGAGCAACGAAGCTAACATTGCTAACAAACGGTACAACTCAATAGTCACCCAAATCTTTTCCGTAAATACATCCCCAAAACTTCTCTCGACACTCTCAGATCATGTCCGGCTATTTATTAAGGTCACGCAGACCTGTTGATGTGGATTAGGACAAGCTATAAAAATGAACTGGGCTTTCAGACAACAGCCCTTTTAGACAACAGGTGTTGGTGTTAAATTCTGTCTGTGCAGAATCTGACTCCCTTCCATTTGCACACCCATCGCACAGGCATATGGACACACGCTAGATGTGGATTCTATTTTTAAACATGTCCTTTCATCTTGAAAAATCAAGATTAGAGGTATTTGTAAAGAGAAGTGACAGGAGGCACAAACGTAACCCCCCCAAGGCTGTTATAATTCAGCACAACACCTGTTGCCTAGAATGGCTGCCTGTGGCATTCAGCTACACAAGGACGTTTAGTGCATTTTTATAGTGAAGTCGGGAACTGGCAACTTTTACTGTCCAGTTGCGGCTCCACAGCAGAATTAGGGCAATTAAGGTAAAAATAAAATAATCCTCCTTTGCAGTGAAATAAAGCTCTGCTGGTCGTTCAACACAGTTTAAACAACAAATGGTCTTGGAGTTAATGTAGAACTGCTAATTCACCCTTTAACCCTGATGATTGGAGCACAGACTGCTGGTCATCATAGCAACGCAGACAATCTCACCTAGCTAATAGTTAATAATAATGAAATGGTAAAGAGAAACCTTTAAGATTTAAACCTTAAGATGAACATCGATAATTTGGTGACGAATGGACTTATTTGCATTTATAATCACTCCAGCTGGTTTCCTGATAGGTTTGATCTGCAACGAGAAACTTAAACACTAAAAAGTTGTGAAGTTGAAGTCAGTTTCTCATTCGCCAGCTTCTTGTTTGAATTTTCCCGTTCCACCTTAAATGGTGCAGCAGTTACATTCTGGCGCCTCAGGCATCATTTAAGGTGGAACGGAATTCGAACAAGAAGCTGACGAATGAGAAGCGACTTCAGCCTCGTAAAAATCAAACATACTTTGTGGAAAAGTTTCCTCCCAGAGATGTGAGAAAAGCAGCTATAGCTGAGCTAAAGCTTAAAGCAGAGCAAAGTATGTCTGCATTTTTGTTACTATTTTACTTTTTAGTCTATACTAGTACATTAGAACATACTGAGACATATTTACAGCCAAGATGGTAAACTGGACATAAAATGTTGTGGCTCCCAAGGTGGCTTGATTTTTGTTGAAAGGACAAAATGGATCTTCTTAACATTTGGGTTGCGACCCCTGGTCTAAGTAGTTTTTTTGGTGTCCTAAAACCCACAAGTTTGCACAACCTTAATAAAGAGTTGGATGTGATTAGAGCTGTTTTAGAAAATGGGATGTATTCCCAGAAAAGATTTGGGTGACTATTGACCTGTAGTGTTAGTTAACAGCGTTTGACTTGTATCCCCAGCGTAAAATAAAGAAGCCAAAGTTGGACACAAAACATATTTTGGCTGATGGACTACATCTGGGGACAGAGGAAAACTGTATATGTTTGACTTTCCACCAAACTTGTTCTTTGAAGTGATTTTAATTCTTTGATGCTTTTGGACCCTGTACAGTCACCTCCACTGAGAGATATCAAATACAAACACATCTGTTTGAGAAATGCTAATTTCGTAAACAAAAAAGGTCTGGATTATTAAACACATCCTTAAAAGGGCTAGAAACTGAATTCATGGGAGCAAGCGACATTCCCTGTGATGAAAGAAAAACAGCGAGGAAGAGGCTTTTGAAATCAGGCAGGCCATGAAAAATCAGACCCCTTAAAAATGAAGGGTTTTCTTTGACTTCCAAACTGTTCTGTAAGTGTTTTTCAACACAGGGGTGCAAATTTACACCAAAAGTTAAGGTTACTATATTGTTATTTATATAATGGCATGTAAATTTGTGGGGGTTTTTAAGCTATACAATATAATTAACAGTAATAATGTCATTTTATGAGGGATAATCAGTATCAGATGCCCTTTAAAGTTGAAGGTTTGCTCTGTTGTCACATTTTACACAATGAAATACAATAAATTGCCTAATCATGTTGTGATAAACATTTTATTGAAATGCTTTGATAACAATAAATGTAATAAGAGGAAACAGCAATAAGTCAAGTGCATTAAATAAGTGTTGCAAACAATTTATCGTAATAAACATGGCATGCAAGACTCAAACTCCTTGACGTGTCTACTTTACAAGCTGAATAAAGGCCATAGGCAGAAATATGCCCTCATGTGAGGTAACTGGATGGTCTCCTTTTCTGATAAACCATGCTGGGTTGATGTGGAAGAAAAAAAAAAAATAGGTAAATAATAATACAGGCCAGGTACCTTTTGTGACAATAAACCCAAGACCCCTCCAGATTGATCAGATCCCCCCGTTCCTATTCATGCAATACAAATTCATTCACTAAGTGTGCCCTATAATCCTGAATCATTTAACTTTTGTTTTCCAGTTATGGCTCCTAACTGCTCGAACCAGTCGACTCCTACCAAGGTGCCCTCCTTGGTCTTCGCCTCGCTTTACTCAGTGGTGTTTCTGACTGGCCTGCTTCTCAACTCCATGGCGGCGTGGGTCTTCTTCCAGATCCGCACCAAGAAGAGGACCTTCATGCTGTACCTGAGGAACATGGTGGCAGCTGACCTGCTCATGACCCTCACGCTGCCAGTCACCATCCTCAGCGAGGCCCAAGTGGGACCGTGGTGGCTTCCGGCGATATCCTGCCGCTACACGGCCGTGCTCTTCTACTGCTCCATGTACGCCAACATCCTCTTCCTGGGCCTGGTGGCTCTGGATCGCTACCTGAAGATCGTGCGACCGTTCGGTGGCAAGTGTGGGAGATTGCCTCTACAGCTACTCCTTCACCTTAGCCATGTCGGCTATGGTGTGGCTGGCCATGCTGACCCTGTCACTCCCCAACACCATACTGACCAATGGAGATCTGAAGCCGGAGACAGCACATAACTGCACATGTCTAAAAAATGAGCTGGGGCGAATTTGGCATGGAGTGGTGGTCTACATCAACATAGGGATTTTCTTCACAGTGTTGATCACCCTGGTGATGTGCTACATGTCCATCCTCAGGCACATTCGTCTCTCTTCTGCCCAGTTCGTGATAGGGGGACCAGCAGGGCAGAGGGAGGCCAAGTCTGGACAGAACGTTCTGGTGGTTCTGCTGGTGTTTTTCGTCTGCTTCGTCCCGTATCATGTATGGAGGTTCCCGTTCACCATCAGCCAAATTCACACCACCTTCACCCCGGAGGTGAAGGACATACTGTTGAATGGCAAAAAGGCTACGCTCTTCTTGTCGTCCTGCAACGTGTGCCTGGACCCCATCATTTACTTCCTTATGTGCAAGTCTTTTAGGAGCAAACTAGCTCGGTTGCTGGGACGTCAATCACCCGCACAGAAATCTTCCATCTACTCACCCATCCCTGAGAAGAAACAGATATTAGTGCTGCGATTTAAGGAGAACTCCTCGTCGTCATCATAGCAGAGAATTAGTCCACTTTAATAAAGAGAATCTCTGTAGACAAGCGCATATTTCTGTGGACAGAGAATGTAAGGAACTATTGTTTGGCATAATTATATTATTTATAAATGGCTGGCAACACAAATGTATTATATGTATATATTGTAGTCTGTATATACTATGAATGAAGTTCATTGTCAGAACTTTAGCAAGGCAATGCTGCATGATGACAATGTACTTTATCGTTTTTATTACTGGTTATTTTATTTATAACAATTGACCAAAGCTCCACCCACAAAAGCGTTCCTTGTTGGCAACTATTGGACAAGCTTTACAAAAAGTGTTCACATTCACTATAAGGTTGAGATGAAATATACATTTTGCTACATGTGAGCTAACACTGCTGCACTGACTTGACATTATAAGACTAATAGTTCAACCTCACTTAAATGCCCCACATAAACCAGCAAGCTTTGTTGATTGTGATTAAGTTGCTCTGGCATTAGTAGAGTACATTTGGAGTAGCTAGTGTTATTGTACAGTAGTGTTGAAATGTAATCATAGACTCACTTATATGCAACAAAAACTCAATGTGCAGAACATAGATATACATACCTAGATGCCGCGTTGCCTGTTGTTCTCTATCTGAGGTGATACGTCTGCACGTCCACCATATTGGAGAGGTCAAGTTCTGCTTGTGAACAAATTCACTTGTATTGAGAGATGAAGAGTCTCAGGATTAAATCAGCCATAACTTCCTTATTACTCAGTCAATTTTGACCAAATTTGTTTTGTTATAATCCTCAGACACAGATAAATCTAGGCTGCATGGGCTGCTCTCGGTAGCTTTTATGTCTATAATAACTGATTATGCTTATTAGCCGTCCAGACCAGCGGGAAAGTATTTAGTCTGCATCTGACGTTAAAAACCAAGTTTAGCGCAAGAAACATAATCAGACACACATCAGCAAATCTATCAATGTGTGAAACACTTCTAATCTTAATACACATAACAATAAAATAAACCCCCAAACCACAGTAAGAAGGATGAAGCTAAAGTTGGCTTCCTATTCACCAGCTTCGTGTTCGAGTTTTCCCGTTCCACCTTAAATGGTGCAGCTGTCACTTTCTGGTGCCAGAAGGTGCACCATTTAAGGTGGAACGGGAAAACTCGAACAAGAGGCTGACAAATTAGAAACTAACCTCAGCTTCGTTTAAGAAGGTGCTAAAGTTGATCTATTATGAATATCTACATGGATTAAGGAATGCTGTAACTTTTGAGCCACAAAGCACTGAACATCACTGTGAATAAATAACTACTACATAGTGTTAAGATCCCCTGAATAGACTATTAAATGAAATAAGCTTAATATAAAACCAGAGGAAACACAGTCACATCAACAGGTTCTCTGTGCCTCATTAACCACACGGCCATATCTGCACATAACCATAACACAAACATGAGCGTGGATCACTGCGTTCCTCCATTATTTAATCCTTTCCCGCTTTCTGAGTGTGATATTCTTGAAATAGTTTAAATTTGGACAGTATCTTTCTAAAACTGCTGCTCTGTAATGGTACTGAATGCAGTCCAGCAGCGATGTTGACTGAACCCAAAATGGCGGTGCTATTGACGTGCCTGGCAGGATCCAACATGGCATCTAGCTTTGTATATCTATGATGCAGAAGTGGTAGTTTGCTATTAGCATGGATATAGCAGTGCTCATATTTTGACTCCTTAACAGCTTCATAGCTCAGAAAATCAAGTGACATTTAGTAGAAAATGGGTGTAGGACAGAATGTATCAAGTTTGGAGAATTTTGTTTAACACAGGATGCAACAAAGGAGATACGGGCATGACAGCAAGCACAGAATGACAGTATGACTTCAGAGGCCTGTTGCTATGAATGAACGCTTTTGTGGCCAGAGCATGTGTAGGTCAAGCTGACAGTATAAAACTTTAAGCTTACTTTTAATGTAAAAAAGCATAAGTATAAGTGTATTTTGTAAATACTGACCTGAAAAAAACTTTAAGTCTGTAAAACCATAAAGTAATGGTGAAAAAAGTGGCACCACAGCACCCCCACTGGTGATGTGCTGTCACTGTCAGTGTCAACATCCAACACCTCGCAAATGAACGCAGCAGGAAAGGAAATGTTGCTAATTAAGATGGTTCTGTCTGACTGAATTTATACTGAAACACGTCTAAATGAGTTTTATGTTTTTGCTTTAATGTATTATCGTTTCATTTTTGAAGAAAAACGTTAGACTGCTTGTGCCTGTGTGTCACAACTAGTTAGCGTTAGCAGTGGAAGCGTTTGGGAACACAGGCCTGTATGTTTCTCACCTCAAAAACTGTGACCATCACTTCTTCTTCATTCAGAGCTACACATTGTACACAGAGCTGATCCAGCACCCACAACAACTCTGAGGTTTCTCTGTTTTTTAGCTTCTGTTAGCCTGCTGTGCTTAGCATGGTTCAGCTTTGTTCAACACCCAGGGAACCTTCCTAATCGCAAATAGTGAATATGTACTAAGTAAACTCTGAATAATGTTCCAATGACCAATAAATGGCCAATATGTTTAACCATATTTCACTCCTCTCAATGTAAACTGGGCAGGCCTACTCTTGGGTAAAGCTTCCATAAGCATTCCTCTGACCAATCACAAGGCTGACATCTCTTGGTCAGTCTGTTTGTTCGTCCATCTGTCCATTCATGGCTATTTTGGTCCAGGTACCGTCATATAAAAGCTGGATGATGATTTTAGTTCTGCATGAGGGGCGGAGCAGGCTAGGGAAGTTGGACAGAGAGTTGTCAATCAAGCTACTTATTAGCCACGCCCACACAACTCTTAGATAGGTCTGATCAGCAGGTTTTGAGCTGTGTTTTATAATTTTTATCTTAGATTTTTTTATTCATGCTTTGCTGGTTGCTTCATATCACTGTGGTTTAAAAAAACCTTGTACCTCCATTTTTGACGTGTGTCAGTTTTTCATATAATTTGAAATTGCTTTTTGTCCTTTACATTGTGTGTAAATTTCATGATGAATGGAACAAAAGAAACGGCCCAAAATTACTTGGAAAAACGTCCGGTTCCTTTGACTTGCATTAAAAGTAAAGTAGGGTTTTTCCTTCTCCTGTAAAGTTACTATTTTGGAGATAAAAGGTTTTCCTCTGATTCTTAATATCATATAAAATTTTTAATACTTTACTCTGTGTGCACTGAGACTTTAAGCTCTATCATTTTGTTCAGCCTATGAAGAATCAACAGGCTGCATTTCTGTAGTGTTAATGAATAGTTTAAAGGCCATATGCTGCCTTTTCATTGTATGAAGTTTGTGTAAATTTACACACCAAACGCATTTGTATTTCATTTTTACACTTTCCAAACTTTTTTCATCTGTAAGAATTAAACAGGCTGTTTTTGTTCCTGTGCCTTTAAAATTGATCCATTTATATCTTCTTTGTGATTGGCTGATCTGTTATGCGCTTAAATCAAAAAACAATCCAGGCTGAAACATTCTATGTAACTTCAGAATGGGCGGAGCTAAAGGTGTGAAGACAGAACAAGAAATATAAGTAAATGCATGATTTTTGTAACATCCGAAAAACAATTAATTAAAAATGGGCTATTTTTGCAGCTCAGTTATATAAACAGTATGGATTGGATAGAGAAGAGTTTGTTTTGAAACTTTAACAATGTTTACATACTAAATCAAACTCAAACAAAAAGGAAATTGGGCTTTTTACGATTAGGACTCTTTAAGAGCACATAGCAAATATTAATATTGCAACAAGACACAAACACAACAAAGTAAAATATTCATTTTTTTTAAAGAAAAGGCAGAATTAAATGGTGAACATTCATCAAGAAACGCTGACATTTTGCATTGAAATGCAGAGAAATGATTTATAGGACAGAGTATCAACCAGTGTGAACCAAACCCAGAGCTTGTCAAGACACAGCTGAAACTGTAAAGCACACATTTCAGGGTTGATAAAACATAAACAAACACATGAGATCGGTGGAACGTGATGACATGATGAGGCATGTTGTTTTTCCTGCTAGACCTTACACAAGCTTTAGACATTTGCGTTTCCAAATGTCAGCAGAGATGTCAAATGACAGCTTATGTAATTAGGTCTTCTCTGGAACAACACTCTGTATTCATGGTGCGGTAGACATTTACATGTGCGTATATTTATGAAAGCAACACCTCGCAAAAGTAATTAAATACGTATATTTTTTCAACTTCTATGGAACATTGTTACTCACATAGCTGGTAATATGTCAAAGAACAATTGAATATCTATATGAAAAACTCCTAAATAGAATGTATAATCCCACATTGCACAGGCCTACATGAAAACGGTTCATTGAACCATAAATGAATGAAATAAATAAATGAATGAAATAAATAAATAAATGAATGAATGAAATAAATGAATAACCGAACAAAACATCCAGATCTCATTAATCAGATTAACTAGGACACTGTTGACTCTCTGTGTGTGAAAGTTGAGCTGCTAGTGAGCAATATGGGGTGAAAAAGGAGGGGTGTGAACCCCTGCTGTGAAAACATTCCATTAAACAGTGTGAAAAGAGGAGAAAAATCTAGAACAGTGTAAATGAGAGAACTTTCTAAAACAGTGTGAATGAAGGAGAACATTCTAGAACAGTGTAAATGGAGGGGAACATTCTGAAACGGTGTGAATGAAGGAGAACTTTCTAGAACACTGTAAATGGAGGGGAACATTCTAGAACAGTGTAAATAGAAGGGAGCACTAAAAGAGTGTGAATGAAGGAGAACATTCTAGAACAGTGTAAATGGAGGGGAACATTCTGAAACAGTGTGAATGGAGGAGAACAATCTAGAACAGTGTAAATGGAGGGGAACGTTCTAGAACAGTGTAAATGTAGGGTAACATTCTAGAACAGTTTGAATGAAGGAGGACATTCTAGAACAGTGTAAATGTAGGGGAACACTGTAAAAGTGTATGAATGAAGGAGAACATTCTAGAACAGTGTAAATGTAGGGGAACACTGTAAAAGAGTGTGAATGAAGGAGAACATTCTAGAACAGTGTAAATGGAGGGGAACATTCTGAAACAGTGTGAATGGAGGAGAACAATCTAGAACAGTGTAAATGGAGGGGAACGTTCTAGAACAGTGTAAATGTAGGGTAACATTCTACAACAGTGTGAATGAATGAAGACATTCTAGAACAGTGTAAATGTAGGGGAACACTGTAAAAGTGTATGAATGAAGGAGAACATTCTAGAACAGTGTAAATGTAGGGGAACACTGTAAAAGAGTGTGAATGAAGGAGAACATTCTAGAACAGTGTAAATGGAGGGGAACATTCTGAAACAGTGTGAATGGAGGAGAACAATCTAGAACAGTGTGAATGGAGGAGAACATTCTAGAACAGTGTAAATGTAGGGGAAACACAGTATTTATGCTTTTTTAACCTCTATATAATGTTGTTGCTTACGTGACAGCTGCAATATTAAACAGCACAATTAAATATCTATATTAAAAACTCCTACACAAAACGTTTAGGCCCACACTGCATAGGCCTACAAGCACGTGCTATACAGCAGAGATCTGCACAAGGTGGGTTCTCCTATGGGAACTGCATGATCTGCTAAATAATTTGTAGGCGTGATTCACTTTGAGGCACCGCAGTCATTGCAGGTAAATGGGCTCGTGCAGGTGGGTATTATGGCTGGCTGCAGGGCGGGCTTAGACAATAACTGGCTGATGTAGACACGAACAGGCAAGCAACAAAAGGGCTGCAAGTGTGCAGCAGAGAAAAATACATTAGCAGTCACAAGCGGCAAAACACATGAAGCTGTAGAGCATCCAGAAAGTATCTATGCATAAAATCAACCTGACTTTTTCCATAAAAACTCTTTTGGCTTTTTAACCTGTGCTGCAGCCTCCGTCTCCGTTTTGGCTTTAATTTAATTTCAGCTGGCTTGTAGAAGTCTAATAGAGTAATTAGCTAACAATTTAATGCGAACACAGATAAATATTAGTAGTGAAGCCAAGCTGCTACGCTGTTTTTTTGTTGTTGTTGTTGTTGCCTGTGGTGCTGCCTGCTTGTCTGTCGACAGTAAATCGCGACGCTCATTTTGTGGCAACATGTTCAAGTTCACGTGGCTTTGATTTGCCTAAAATACACAAAATATTTACTTTTCTTTTGCCAACATTGAAATGTTTATTTGTGCTGCTGGGTGTGCGGAGCTGCGATGTCACGAGGTTTGTGCGGCACGTCCTACATGGAGTAGATTACAGCAGCCACAGGCAGGAGCTGATGAGGACCACATGCTTTGCCCAAAGTAGGCAGGTGCGGGTGGGCTTGGTGTGTGAAAACCAAAACCAGAAACTGGTGCTACACTGTTATAAATAAAGATTCTGTGCAGGTACGTTTTTCATTCATCAAGGTACAAACAATGTAAGTGTTCTCTCAAAGGTACAACAGTGGTTTTAAGGTCCAATTGTGAACCTGAAATAAGTTTTTCCAGGTGTAAAGTACAGATTTGTACCTTTTCATACCCAAATGTTTTAAAACAGAACAATAAAATAAAAAACCTGGAGAAGAGACGGGGCGTGTGGAGTCAGTACAACTTAGAAAATATAATTTCAATGGATTATGGTACAATTATGTTCCCTGACTAAAGGTACTGAGGGTACCAACCCAGTGACAAGAGGGGCACTGCCCCAATGACAGTCTCATTCCTTTATTTCTGGGAGCGTAGGTTTTGCGGGCGGGAGTGGGAAAGACTCACACTAGATTTTTCAGGTGCAGGTGGACGTGATTAATGGTTAAATCAGGTGGGTATTAATAATCAGACCTCTACTATACAGTAGCACCAATAGATCTATTAGATAAAATGTTTACAGTACTGAAAAAGTCAGAGAGGTGGTATCTGACTTTTACACACTTTTGAACATCAGCTTTGATATCTAAGCAATGTCTTTTGCTTCCCCATGCTTAATTAGCACACCCTGCAGAACTCACACATTCTCCTCCTCTTCTTCCTGGTCCTATTTTTGGAGGTCACACCACTCAGGTGTGGTTTGTTGCGAGGAATGTTGTCAATGAGCTCGAACAAGGTGAAAATGCAGAAGGAAATCTCATCGCAGGCCGTCCTTGTGCCGTTCTCAAACAAGCAGGCGAACGCAATGACCGGTGGGGTCCCATCAGACTGGAGCTCTAGGTAGGCCAGGTCCGAGTAGGCACTGGGCCCCTCGTAGATGACCCATGGCCCTGTCCAGCTGTCTGGTTCCCGGGGCCGGATGTTGAGATACAAACCCAGATCACGTCGACCAGGACCGGTCGGGTGCGCATATACCACCCACGTAGGTGTCAGAAAGTTCTGGGAGGGTTTTTTTATGGAAACAGAAGTAGCCGAAGGTGGGCCAACTGCGGACGTTATCCGCCTGAGAAGCTTGGGGGAGTTCTGTAGGAGAAGCAAGGGGGCCGGAAAGCCAACCACACTGCCATGGCAACCATTTCTGGGCTCCACAAGCTTTTGGACCAGTTGGCCTTCCTGGAACACAGCTCCATCGTCGAAACTCAAGGCCTGCACACGGCATCCTAGAGTACTGCGGGCATTACAGTAGAGTATGTTGGTCCCATCCTCCTCGTCCACGGACACCATCTGACACTCCACGCACTCAGGCCCTGGGACCACCTCCCCAAAGCGCCACACTCTCCCATGCGTGTCGCTGTGGAAACAGAAGGAGTGGGGCGTGGTTGTGCACACCTTGTTGAAGCACTCTTTGCAGTCGATGTGGTAGGTGTAGGCTGGGATAAGCAGACGGCCAGACTTCAGCTGGATCCCATGGCCTGGACCAAGAGCAAAAGTAGCCCACTCTACAGGGCAAGACAAAACAAAATCAACAAAACCTATTCAGAATCGATGTTAAATATGGAAAAGCTGACATTGATGTTTTTTGCAATACGCTACATGAAGCATAGGGGGCAATGTGGCTTTTACTGTTTCATTGCAACATAAATAAAGAAATCGTTTGTTGCAAAGACAGTAAGTATGAAAATAATCGAGGCAAAGTTTCTATTGCTCAATTGTATGAATAATAGTTGATAGAGTAGCCTCATTCTGTAGCCCCCTAGTGGTCATTTCACTGATGGAACAGAAAATGATTTGGATATATTTGATTAATTTAACCAGATAAAAAGTGTGTATATCTGTTATCCGATTAACTCAGACAGTGTTGTCTCTATAAGTGTGAAATGTTGTGACTCTGTTGAGCTGGTAGTGAGCAATGAAGGGTGAAAGGGGAGGGGTAGGAGCCCCCTGCTGTGAAAACCATCCACACCTCTTCACAAAGACGGCTGTTATTATTCTAGAACAGTGTGAACAAAGGAAAACATTCTAGGACTGCATAAATGTGGGAGAATATTCTAGAACAGTGTAAACCAATTGGAATATTTTAGAACAGTAGAAATGTTCTAAACAGTGTGAATTAAGAAGAATGTTCTACAATACTGTGAATGGAAAGGAACATTCTAAAACAGTATAAATGGAGGACAACATTCTAGAACAGTGTGAATGGAGGGTAACATTCTACACAGTGTGAATGAAGGAGAGCATTCCAGAACAGGGTGACAGGGGTAAACATTCTAGAACAGTGCAAATGGAAGGGAATATTTTAGAACAGTGTAAATGGATGGGAACATTCTAGAACAGTGTGAATGGAGGGAAACATTCTAGAACAGTGTGAATGGAAGGGAACATTCTAAAACACTGTGAATGGAGGGGAATATTCTAGAACTGTGTGAATGGAGGGAAACATTCTAGAACTGTGGAAAATGGAGTGAAACATTCTATAACTGTGTGAATGGAGGGAAACAATCTAGAACAGTGTCAATGGATTACATTCTAGAACAGTTTGAATGGAGGAGAACATTCTAGAACTGTGCAAATGGAAGGAAACATTCTAAACAGTGTGAATGGGTGGGGGGGCATTCTAGAACAGCACGAATGGAAGAGAAGGTTCTAGAGACTCCCAGTAATCACATACAGGTACTGAACACTAACTCTATGTTTGGGTTTGTTTGTGTTTGTGTGAGCACTATGGTCAGTTTTCTCTGACCTTTGGTGTCCATACAGCTCCAGAAGCCTCACCTTTGATGGTGTCCCCTATGACTTTCTGAGTGAGGTCAACAGCAGGACTCCAGGTTTCTCCATGGTCATCACTGAACACGTAGCAGAGCCTGGTCACGTTCTTGCCCGTCACCAGCTGGTACGACTCGCTGGTGTGACCCAGGACAGCGATGAAGAAGAGGAAGAGCGTTCCTGTGAACGCGTCATAGACGGGACACGGGTTCATCGAGCGATGGCCTTTCAGACAGGCTGTGCTCAGGACTCGCATGTCTTCCCACTACAACCAGGAAAGGAGGGAAGGCGATGAAAAGAGAAATGAAAGGTACAGAAGTTGAAGTGAAGCCTTAATGAGACTGAAGACAAGTCTAGTTTGTGAGGACTTCAGGTGTTTATAAAGTTCTTGCACGCTTTTAATTTGAATTCTTCTCTGTTATTATTTGTTTAAGTAGGAAAAAGTACCTGCTGAGCTCTAGTTTGCATAAAACAGCTGCTTCCTTATACTTGGGTAATATTTAGTTTCATCGCTAAGCTTGTATATTAAAATGTCTTCCTTGGTATGAAGAGCAGTTTTGTCTGAATAATGATTGGACAGTTTTCTTTTCTAAACTGTTGTCAGACACATAATTGAAACACTTCAAAAATTTACCTGTTAACATCACAACAAGGAGATAGAAAGCAGTGGGGAAATTTTCTAGTTTATTATTATTCACTAATATCTTCATGCTTTTTGTATTTAAAAACTCCACAAGTATTGTAGTAATACTTTTATCCAATTATATTTTGGCTGGAAACAAAAGAGTTCAGACCTTTAAACACCCAGCGGAAAATGATCCAATCAGATTTTTTTTCTCTGTGGAATCCAGATAGATAGAGCCAGTCAAGCTCTCCTATTGGCTGGGGCTTTATTAGATAGACAGAAGGCCTCATATATTGGATTAACTACCAACATAATCAAGAACTGACAGGAATCTATCAATCATGTTTTATTTTTCGAGGTGCAGAAGAATCACTTTAGGCCTGCTGGAAGTTCTGGATACGTCAGTGACAAGTCATCGTTTAACCAGGTTTCAGTTAGTTAAAAGAATAAAAACAGTTAAGAAACAAAAACAGTTAAAGTTACTAAACGAGTCACTGTAAAACTGATACGTAAAAGATAAAACAAATGTCAATGTCTTTTACAAGCTTCATATGTCTGCATTTAATGTATAATGGCCAAAATATGTTTATGCACACAAGCATTAGATTAACGCTAACATACTAGTGGAAATCCCATAGGGGTGCTAACAAAGAGTAGCATTATCAGAAATATTGTATACATGAGATTTTTTGTCAATTTTAACAGATTATTGACATTTATGGCCTAAATTGAAGTTGTGCTAAATTAACTAATGTTAATTATCTTGGGGTTTTGCAAACCAAGAGAGATTTGTATTCAACCATTTTGAAAAGCTGTGTTTCCACATTTCTGATTTGGAGTTTAGATTTTCAGACAGCTTGGTTTTGTGTTGTATAGCTTTTTAAATATGTAGAGATGTAAGAGTGAGTAAGGGTCTTATCAGACCTCCACGTAGTTCCTGTAGAAGGTGCCTTTGCGCATGACGAGGAGGTGGGCCTGGGAGTCTGCGGGGCTCAGCCTCTCTTCACAGAAGGCCAGGAAGCAGGAGGAGCGCGGCAGGAAGATCAAAGCTGGGACACGATATGTCACTCCACTCGTTTCCTTCCGGAACAGCACAGAGCGCGCAGGGAAGTAGGATGGGGAGCCCATGGTCCAGCAACGGTCATCCAAGACAACACTGAAAAACCACTGAACCGGAGCCTGTATGGTGAAAAGTTTCAGAAGTGACATAAAACGCTCAAGATAATCTACCAGTAATAAGTTACTTTTCCTTTACAAAGCACACAAACTGAGATGCTCTGCACTGTAAACAATATTTAAAACATTTGGTAATAGAAAGCAGTTTAAAGCAAAATAGTAGTCATATTTGTCAAGGTCAAGGTCTTGTATTCCCACTTGTATGTAAATTAGGGCTGTCTCTCAATCCTATTTGTTTGCTTGTTTGTTTACTTGTTGCATGTTGTGAGTCAGTTTTGTTTATATGTAAATTGCCTCAGGCCTCAGGGAGTACAGCAGAAAATTAGCCAGCTGGCTAACACTGGCACATTTACAAGTTATCTGGGTAAACCACTACCATGCGCACCAGGCTTTAGGGAGCATTTGATACAATCCCATTTCCAAAAAAATTAGGATGCTGTGCAAAATATAAATAAAAACTAAATGCAATGATGTGCAAATTATTTAAACCTTATATTTGACTGAAAGTAGTACAAAGACAACAAATCAAATGTTGAACCTGAGATTTGAGTTTCAAAAAAGTTGGGACGGGGCAACAAAAGGCTGGTAAAGTTGTGTAATGCAAAAAAAACCCTGGTGGGTAATAGGCAACAGGTCAGTAACATGACTGGGTATAAAAGAGCATCTCAGAGAGGCTGAATCTTTCAGAAGGCACCAATAATGCTGAATGATGTTTTAGAAACATATACTGCCATCCAGATGACGTCTTTTTCAGGGAAGACCTTGATTATTTCAGCAAGACAATGTAAAACCACATTCTGCACAACAGCATTGCTCCATATTAAAAGAGTCTTGACGCTAAACTGACCTGCCTGCAGTCCAGACCTGTCACCACTGAAAACATTTGGTGCATTATGGAGCAAAAAATACAACAAAGGAGACCCTGAACTGTTGAGCAGCTGAAATCCTATATCAAACAAGAACAGGAAAACATTTCACTTTCAAAACTACAGCAGTGTCTCCTCAGCTCCCAAACGCTTACAGAGGTGATGAAACACAGTGGTAAACATGCTCCCATCCAACTTTTTTGAAACGTGTTGTTGGCATCAAATTCAAAATGGGCATATACTTTTCAAAAAACAATAAAATTTCTCAGTTTCAGCATTTGTTTTTTTTTGTCTTTGTACTATTTTCAGTGAAATACAGGGTTTAAATGATTTGCATATCATTGCATTTTGTTTTTATTTACATTTTGCACAGCGTCCCAACTTTTTTGGAAATGGAGTTGTATTGGCATGATGGAGTTGTATTGGCATGATTAGAGTTATGAGTTTACAGGAGATTGTTAGGAGATTGGCAAGGCCATGCAAGCACCTTCAGTCTTGAATTAATTAGGGTGTATGTTTGGGATCTTGTTGAAACATCCATCTTCACCTCTATCTTGATTAAATTCTGCTCCAATGTGTCTCGATACGTCACTCCATTCAGGTTTCCTTTGGCCCCATATCACGACGCTCCCGCTTACATACAACTTTTTCGTGGAGTGCCTGGCTTCACTCTTACCTTCCTTTTCATTATTCTGAGAGCACATTTTCAAATCTTGCATGGTGCACTTCTCTGCATAATCAGTTGTGATTCTATGAACTTTCCATTTACATATTACCGAACCAATTGTACTGACAGGGATGTTCAACCCCTCAAAATCCCAGGCTTTTTACAGACTAAGGCTTATTATATAGTAACTACAGGGACTTCAATTCAAACTAGCTGAGCTATTCTTATTCTTTTAGAAGTGTGTAATAAAACGTCAGGCCCACTAGTGGGCCTTGGCCATTTAAAGGGGTTAAGGTCTTTGCTAGGGCCTTGTTGATTTTCCAATCGAGTTTTATTTCAAAATGTTCTCCCTGAGAACCTTAGAAAGCTCCTTCACCATGATTGCTACTTGTTGCGTGAAATCTTCCCAACCGATGGCCGCATCTTCTCTATTTTGAAGACAGGTGCAATTTGCATTGATTAATATGCACTGTCCCTGAAAAGTAGGTAAGTAAATAAATAAATAAATACATATTTAATCATTTCAAATCTTTCAAACACCAATTAACCTCCACCTACTTCCATTTGTTACAGTGCTCTGTTAACTCCTAACTCTGTGATATTTCGTGTGTATGCATGTGCACAGTTTCATCACATCCCTGCATGACTTTTCCTTTGTCCTCAGTGTGAGGGGGGGGACCAGTGTGTCATGTGTCTAGAACAGTCAGAAAGGGCATGACCCAGCAGAGAGAGAGAGAGCTGACCCCAACACAGTCAGCATTCTCTTAAAAAAGCACTAGCAGTAAAGGGAACTGTCCAGTCAGTATAGCACAATTTACCAAGTCTGTTTAGTTCAGCATATATACACCTGCACTCTTTCTATAACTCAAATTGACTAGAAACCCCACACCCACCGTACTTTCATCTGACAGCAGGAAGAGTGAAGCTAGCACTAATGCATTTTTTAACCTATGCCTCTTTTATTCAGTGTTTATCTTATTCAGCAACTACTATCATTCAGTAACCACTATAAATGATTCAGTAGCTACTATACATTATTACACAAGTACTATAAATTATTCAGCACAATCTAAATTACCCAGCAGCTACAAACAAATTATTCAGTAACTTCTATAACTGCTACACTCACTGAGCACTTCATAAAGCCCACCTCCTTGTTTCTGTACTCATCGGTCTACAATTACAGACTGTAGTCCATCTGTTTCTCCGCATACTTTGTTACCCTGTTCTTCAGTTCTTCAGGACCCCCCTGGGTAGTGGATGATTCTCAGCACTGCAGTAACACTGACGTGGTGGTGGTGTGTTAGTGTGTGTTGCGCTGGTCTGAGTGGATCAGACACAGCAGTGCTCCTGGAGTTTTTAAACACCTCAGTGTCGCTGCTGGACTGAGAACCTAAAAATATCCAGCCAACAGTGTCCTGTGGGCAGCGTCTGGTAAACACTGATGAAAGACTAGAGGATGGCCAACACAAACTGTGCAGCAAATGAGCCATCGTCTCTGACTTTACATGGTAGTCTAATAGTCTAATAGAGTGGACAGTGAGTGGACACAGTGTTTAAACTCCAAAAGCACTGCTGCATCTGATCCACTCACACCAGCGCGACACACACTAACACGCCACCACCACGTCAGTGTTACTGCAGTGCTGAGAATAATCCACCACCCAAATAATACCTGCTATGTGGGGGTCCTGTGGGGGTCCTGACCACTGAAGAACAGGGTAACAAAGTATGCAGAAACACATGGACTACAGTCTGTAACTGTAGATCTACACAGTGCTCCTATATGGTCAGTGGAGCTGATAAAATGGACAATAAGTGTAGAAACAAGGTAGCTATATGTAATGAAGTGCTTAGTAAATGCTGTTAAATATTCCTGAACTATTAGGAATTATTCAACAGCTACTCTAAATTATTCAATAACTATGAATTATTCAGAAATTGCTATAAATGGTCCAGCAACTACTGAAAATGATTTAATAACTACTGTAAATTATTCAGTATCTAAATAACTATATACACTATGCTATAACTACTATGAGTTAATTGTGTGGGTCCACATACAAGGCCTTGCAGATTGCATATCATTTACCATTTATCAATATAAAACGATAAGAAATATGCTTCATTATACATAATTTGTACGCTAACCTTGCATTTACAAGAATGCAGCAGAAGAAGGAGATACTTACTGTGCGCTGGCCGGATGTGCTTCTTAACACACTCCTTGTCAGTTTGGTGAATGTTTGAGGGTGAGATATTGAGAGCGTGTCAAATTGTGCGAGTGTGATGGGGGAGGGGGGGGTGCACATACACAATAAAGGCATGGTTTGGATGACCTTGTCTATTAGGTAGTGGCCTATTCAGTGTCATGCTCGCAGTTTGTGCGCTGACCCAGAAATGAGCTCGACTCATCAGAACTACTGCATCCAGTGAATCAGCTATCAGCAGCCATTGTGTGTACACCAATTATCTCTTCACAAACATGGGAGAGAGAGAGAGAGAGAGAGAGAGAGAGAGAGAGAGAACTTTCTGCTCACAAACAAGCCATATGAGCATATAGTTTGCACACGCTTGCTAATCAACACTATTTTATTAGTTTTCAGGCTTTTTTATGATTTCTTGATCTATTTAACATTATGGTATAAAGACCCCCAGCACTGGGCTGTGGAGCAGTGGAGCAGTGTTCTCTGGAGTGATGGAGCTCCATCCAATACCTTTGGGATGAGTTTGAGTGATCCAGAACTGATCATCCAACATCAGTACCTGACCTCACTAATGCTCAATCAAATCCTCAGAGCAATGTTCAAGATCTAGTGTAAAGCCTTCCCAGAAGACAAACTCCCTATTAATAACTTTGATTTCAGAAGGAAGACTCGACAGGCAGATGTCTACAAATGTTTGGACATACATTGTATGGTGGCTATAGAGAGACAATGACACTGTAAACTTCATGAAGAATAGATCAACAGAAATGACCCAGAATTACTTGGAAAAAAAGTCTGGTTCCATTGACTTACATTAAAAGTAAAGTAGGTTTTTTCCTTCTCCTGTAAAGAGATCTTCTGACAACAGTGATGCATTTTCATCACAGCAAAGTTTCATGGATTATATATGGTGTATAAATATACACACCTATGTACACACACACACATATATATATATATATATATATATATATGTGTGTGTGTGTGTGTGTGTGTGTGTATGTATATGTAAACTAAAGTGTGTGCAACTGGGTGATTCCACGACTGGGATGCCATTCAGCGCTCTGTAACTCTGTAACTCTTACAAAATAAACTTTATTTTTTATCATTTTTCAACATTGAGTAAAAAACGTGCATTTAACTCTTTGAAATGTTTGTTGATCCAACTCGGGAACAATATCTCATTTCTTACATGGTTTGTTTGCTGACAGC